ACTTTTTCCGAACATCTTTTGATCTTTGTGCATCACATATCCCGTGATAAGAAGTATTTCTTGGATTCTCACTATTGTCTAGTTTCTCATAGTCATTTTCATGAGTATTTTCATGAAAATAATCTTCATACTTCCTTTTGACTAAGTTGGATGTTCTTTCTAGGTAGTACGCCTTCGTGGTACTATCATCACTTTCATTATGTTGCAAAAGCTCCTTTTTTTCTTCATAACTACAATTAAACGATTCATTGCCATCATTTTCCCCACTTAATGATAGCTCCTTAGAAATCTCAAAATATTCTTCATCATACTCCTCAACTTCAACAACTGTATTTACACCATCATCCAACTGAAAGCTCTTGTTTTTGTATTGAAAATCCGAACGTAAATTATTTTCCGTTGAGACTGTAGATGAAGGAGATTTCAAATCAATAGAGCATTGAGGAGATGAAGAGTGTGTATCATTCCTCAATTTCACCGAATTAGCTTGATTTCTACCATCTTTACTCTCTTGAGCCAAGGCACAATTTTGCCCTATAAAGTCTTGTATATCTTTATAATTCTTCCCTTCTTTTCGAGCTTTTCTTTGCAAAGCCTTTTGAACTAGTGAAGATATGCGAGAGCTAGTTCTCTTTAGTTGTTGAGTAGGCTTTCCAAACTCAACATCACAGTCTTCACACAACCAAATACTATCCTTATTCCTAATTTTCGAAGGATTGTCGATACAATAGCTGAAAAAAATAATGATGAAATCATACAAAAATTGTTTACACTGACAAATTATTCTCATATTAGTAAAAGATAATCCCCAATCAAATGCTCAGATTTTTAGGTTATATTTGCACAAATTTGTGTTATTTGCGTTTTTAAAAAATACATAACTGTAAAAAATTTGGCTTGAAATGCAAATTATTAATAAAATCACAACTATGACATGAACAAAAAAATAACAGACCAATAATAATTATATAACTCTTATTTTTAGCTAAAAAATAATAATTGTAGAATATAATACATTTAAAGAGAAATCAAAACTAACCTTATTTTACTTATCTATCAATTTAATCAACTATATTCACAAAAATTTTGTGTCTTGAAAACACACATCAACAACTTTACAATTTCTTAAGCGTAAAACTGATGAGATAAATATAATTTTTTTTAAAAAGTAACAACTAAAAAAAATAGTTGAGGAGATTCAAATTAAAACCTTTCTAAAATTTATGGGTTAAAAAATTAAAGATTTTTTTAAAAAAAAAAAAAATTGGAGGGAAATTGAAGGGATTCAGGTATTAAAAAAAACTAATAGTGATTAATGCTTTATTAATTGTCAAGAAAATGAAAATTCACATTAAAAAATACTACAAAGTATAATATTCACATAATAATAGACTTTGTAAAATATTAATTACTCTTATAAAATACCGTTGATGAAAACAATTTAAATGAAAAATAACCTTATATATAGTCATTTTTCTAACTTTAAGACGAAATCATAAATTAATAGCTTGTTCAAAATCATATATATTATCAAAAAAATTAAATAAAAATAGGGGAAAAATCATCCAAAAGGATTATGATCAAAGTGCCTAATTAAATAAATTATTTCAAATGAATTAAATAAAACAATATCAGCACAAACATTGAAACATACCTATGAATTGCAGCTTCTTGGCAATTCATGCAATAAATTAGGTGTTTTTTGCCTTCGACTCCGCATGTGTAACAAACGGTCATCTAAGAATAGGAAGAAAAAAAAATGTTAATGCTTGATCAATGATCTCAGTTAACCGGGATTAGCACTAAATTAAACTAATTACATTATACGAAGCTGGTTAATCCAAAATAAAAATAAGAGTGTACTAGTTAACTTTTCCATCAAGTATTAGCAATTTTAATTAATAAAAGAAAACTAATGGAAAATAGGAATACACACACTACTACTCTAGTATGATACATCGTATAATGACGATTTCGTAAAAACTATTTTTGCTCTAAAATCAAAACTCGTGTATGTAGGGTTTCAAAATTTCTAGCCTGCAAACTCTAGTCGGACTGATCCGTTCATCTGACCTATTTAACATCTAAAATAAATTTTAAAAAAGAAAAAAAATAAAAATAAAAAATAGATCTCATAGTGTATATTATCAAACAAACTTTGCGTGATGTTAAATACTTGAATGAATTACCCCGTAAAAGCAAAAAAACCATACGAGTGATAAGACAATGTTAAGCATACCCAATGTGTAAAATAAAAATATAATATACACAAACTACAACAACATACTACTCTTTTCAATCATTCATGCGTAAAATCTAAAGTAAAACATGAAAATTTTGAATTACCTTTTGATTCACGAGATAAATCCCAACGAAAGTAATGTATGTAAAAGGGGCAGAAATTCCTTCACAAAAAGCAATAAAAAAAAATAAAAAAAAAAAAAAGAAAAAAGAATTTGGATGGTTAGATCTTCATTAACCAACTGTTGAATTTTAATCGAACGACTGAAAAACCCTTGTTATATATGCTACGTAACTTCTTAATTCTTATCATAAAGTCTCTTTATATAACCACTTTGAGTCGGGAACTTAACCGCCTCTTTTTTTTTTCTTTTTTTTTTTATGTAAATTTTTTTTTATTTATGTAAATTTTTTTGTTTTTTAAAAGTGAGCTTTATACGGTGCTTAATTTAATCTAAACTTTCCTAATTATCCTATCTTATATTCTCCAAGTATTTTCAAAATATAATATATAGATTTGCTATAATTTGTGATACGATAGAGAGTATGTAACGATTTTATATGATAGAATTTGGGTTGATGTTATCTTTTCAACTTTCCTTAATATGTTGTTTCCTAATTATATTATGTTAATATGATTTCTTTGTAAACTCTCTTTATTAGTAAATTCTCTATATCAGATCAATTAGTCATATACTTCCCTTAATATCTTTTCAATTAGCTCGTGTGTTTCACGTCTTTCCTAAATTTTTGTGTAAGACTTTTTTTTTTTTTTTTTAATACTAGGGCAGTTAACAGGCGCATTCATAGCTAGACAAATAGACATGTACACAGAGTCGTAGAGCTTTTTTTATTTGACATTATGTCACAACTTTGAGTGGCAATATCAATGAATAAAAATATGTAAATAAATATATTAGGAGTATAAATGTCAGCACACTAGAGATAGACAATTAACATTAATGAGAGATATAAGCAAATAAACATTTTTAGAGGGTATAATTGTCCAAACACAATTCACAAGTGTTATCTTAAACTTCTTAAAGGGTAGGGAAATAAATAAACTAAGGGTGCTTTGTACATTTTAGAATTTGGACACCAATATTTTACTCCTCCCTTTTCACTGATTAACATTCTTGAAGTTTATTTAACTTTATTAGACCCTGCTCACTTCACTTTAAAAAATTAAATTCAGTAAAAATAATTTCAGCTCAGCCAAAATAATTTCAGTTCAATTAAAATAATTTCATTTCAGTAAAAATAAGTTCAGTTCAGTAAAAATAATTTTAGTTCAGTAAAAATCAGTAATTTTAAAAAGAAATATAACAGAAAATCAGTAGAAATAATTTCAGTTCACCAAAAATAATTTAAGTTCAATAAAAATAATTTAAGTTCGGCAAAAATAATTTTAATTCAGCAAAAGTAAGGTGAAGTGAACGGGGCCTACTCATATTAGCTGTAATATATATAATATATATACTATTTGCAACAACTTTTGTTTACACCTAATTTACAACAATATTAGTAAATTGAGCATATAGGTAACTTTTATACGTAACTTTGATCATTTAGACTAACTTTACAATTGATTTATAATATTTATTGTAAATCCGATTTATATAAAAGTTTTTGTATTATAAACTTGTCTGATCTGGATAAGCTAGGCAAAGAAAACATAGGCTAATTAGTTGGTTAATGTATTGAAAATACTATCGATCTAAAGTCTACAATCATATATCCAACTCAAGTCACAATAATTAAGAAAGTAAAAGTATGCTAAGCAGTCCATTGGACCCCATTAATGGAGGTCCAACTTACTTGGTTGATTAATAGGTATCTTTTGCTGCGAAGGTAAATGAAGGATACCGCAAGTTTTACTACATGAACATGGATATTTAGACTAAATTTTACATAATTGGTAAGTTGTGTGTATTTGGGGTGGGCTATATGTCACGATTAATTATGCTAAAAACAAAATACTACTACCGTTAAATATTAGTTGCAATTTTGGGGTATTATTTGTAAGATATCAAATATTCCAAAGTTGCAACCAATATTTAACGGAGATAGTAGGTACGTCTAACGTTTAGTGGTAAATGATGGCTAATAATTATCTTATCTTAATTACATCAAATAGTTAGTGATTTGTTTAGTTGTTAATATGGTAAAAATTATTCCAATTTAATCATGAACTCATATCATACTAATTTGTTTCAAATTCCATGTTTTAATATGATACTCCCTCCATCCCATAATATCCTGAATGTTGGGGTGGACACATATTTTAAGAAAACTACAAGTAGATGTATTTTAAACATTTGTTTATTATATAAATGATTCTCTTTTGTATTTTTATATTGTAAGAAAACAAAAAGTGGGGGAGGTGGGAGTAGTGAGGAGAGAGAAAAGGTAGGATTTAATTGGGTTTTGGGATTTGTGGTCACAAAGAGAGTATAGGAAAATATTTTTTTATTAGTGGTTTAATTCCAGATTTAGTAGCGTGTCAAGTATTTTGGGATGAACGAAAATGGAAATTGTGTCAAGTATTATGGAACGAAGGGAGTATGACCATAAGAGTAAACAAATGAGCAGATTTAAGTTTTACACGACGACACAAATATAGATATATAGAGTCTTACTCCGTCTAATCTTAATCTAATTGTCAAGTGATGTCTTGGGTTGTTATAGATTGTACAGTAGCTAGTACGAAGCAATTTCAAGAGAAACTATAAACCTGTAAATCTAAGAAAATTTCCTCCTTTGCATAACTTTGGTAATCAATTACCATATACAAGCTGAACTACTCAATAGTACTACACAAACAAAGAGCAGAGAAACCAAATGTATGTTACTTAGGCTTCAGCTACCCTTTGAAGAATTAATGAACAACCAAGAGATAAGCGACTATACTACATTTGCAAAAAAAAATGTATGTACACAATATGAATGCTACACATTACAACTAATTGTATGATTTTGGTTGTTGGTATTCTACCTATATAATCTCTAAACTCTAGTTGGGAGTCCATAGTTATGGAACGTCGTGATCTTTCCATTCGAATTAGCCGTGACCATCACAAGCCCCCATGTCGAAAAATGAGCAATGTTGTTATGCTCTTGACAATGGTCCTTAGTGTAGATAGGAAGCATGTCCTCAGGCAAGATGGCAGAGCTCTTAGACGAGAACAAGTTACTTAGGTTCACATTAGGAGGAGATCGGTTTATAAAGGCCGCTTCATGGTTGGTAAATAAGCTACTTGAACCCTTTGGCAGTGTTGTAGTACCACACCAAGGTACTGCAACACACACTCCTTCGGAGTAAAAATGCTCACAAGAACGAATAGACTTTGTATTGCTCGATGATGATTGATCTGTTGAGTCATGATTCCATACATATACGCGTGAATCCTGTCCAATCGATACTATATGACTCCCGTTTGATGTAAATGAAGCTGACATTTGACTTCCTGACTTGTTAAGACCTGCAATAGGAAGGAGCAGTAAAGTTAAGTGAACTGCCCTGTATAAAACAAAATATGATACGACACGTTTGAGATTAAGGTTAAATACATTCATATTAGGCCAAATTGGTATATTATAATTGATATAAGAGACTTGCTAGCTGTTTAGATTACAGCTGGAACGAGTCAAATAGCTCGATCACCCAAGCAATTATAATCAGTATAAACCACAACTGTTTTTTAACTGATTTTTTTACATATTAAAACTGATCTTTGTTGATCTTTCCTTATCAAAACATATTATTGTTGGTCAATGGTAAGATTATTACACCTATAGATTCGGATCCCTACCTCGGAATCTACAGACAACATCCATCTTGTCAAGTATACAGAGTTTAGAATCTTCTGACGAAACCATAACCTTCTGAGAGTCCTCTGACGGAAACTGCAAACAGAAACAGCAGCAAAATTCTTAGAACAGTTTTGACAAAATCACTAAAGAATGTTAGTAAAATTAGAAAATCAACTTTAGGGCCCAACCTGTATTCCTGTAATCCTATTAGTGGTTGATCTTTTGCATCCATGAAGTAAAATATGTGCACTGAGCTCGAATAATTTCCCTAGATCATCAGCAAACAGAATCTCAGAAAAACGAACAGATGATTAAGAATAAAGCGAAAACTAAAGGCAATGAAAGAAACTTAATCCAATCTTTAATGAGGGAATATGTACCTTTTGTCTCATAGAACTGGCAGCAGCCACTAACAGATCCTACGACGAATGCCTGTTTACAGAAAGGATAAGATCAGTAAGATGGTGACCTTAAAGAAATATATCCTGTAAAAAAAAGAATTTACAGAAAGCATTTCATAAATGTAAGCATGTAGCTGAAACATACCTGTCCATCAGGCTGGTAACATACAGCTGTGACTGCATCTCTGATATCGGCCCAGTCTAGAACCCGGTGCTTTGATACTCCCCATACACGAACTTTTCCATCGATTGAACCACTTATGAAGTAACGATTGTTTACAGGATTGAATTGAACACAGGTAACTGATTCACGGCAAAACATGAACTTAAATCAGGATCATTTGATTCTACAAATCTAAATCATACAGTAATACTTTTCTATTATAAATTTATGATATTTTGACATGAAAATTGTAATCTGTACAGGTTTTATACTTACCATAATCAGTATGATGGAAAGTGTTGACACATGTATCAGATCCAAGTTTCCACAAGCGAACAGTTTTATCCATGGACGACGAAAGAAGATACTGAAACACAAACAAGAAGTACTAATTTAGTCAAAAATATGCTGAATGTAAAAATATGCTACAAATGAAAAGCTAGTTAATTCTTCAAGGGAAGAAAAACTTACATTAGAGTTAGACCAAGCAAGGTCTAAGACATCCGCGGTATGACCATGAAACTCTTGTACAGGCACCTCGTCGATTTTGAACATTTTATCAGGAATTACTACTGGTGTTTCCACCTTCATATCTCTTTTATGTCCACTATTTTTATCTTTTCTAGCACTACTAGATTCATCTGGAAACCTCTGAAGGCATGAATCTATCGACTTAATGAGCCAAACTCGAACAACACCATCTTCTCCACCAGTTGCCAGATACTGACCATCAGGACTAAACTTCATAGTCCAGATGATACCACTATGAGCTTGGATTTCCTGTGCTGCAAATAACGCGTTGAGCTCCTTAAACTTTTTTTTATTCACTTGGACTTTCGTTCTACTCATCTCGAATTTACAAGCCTTTTCACTATCATCCACTTTGCATTTGTACCCACCAATACTTCCTCTCTGTTTCTTCATAAAATCACTCCACCAATGCCTAATTTTCTTGTTTATAGACTTACAACTATTGGAGGTTGATACCTCATCATCCTCACAAACATCACCCAAACTCGGCCTAATTTCATGATTCATATTAACATCTCCATTACATTCCCTTCCACAATCAATAGCAGATGAAGAACACGAACTCGAAACTGCTCCACTGCTTTCCACCACTCTTTCCAACCCCAATTCCAAATGATCATCATCAGCTTCAGCACAAGCAGCATCAGCTTCAGACAAAGAACAAGGCTCAATAAAACCCATTTCGCATAAGAAAGTATAGCGCCTTTCCTTAACACTCTTAAGCTCATTCCTCCAGAATTCATACCCCAATACTCCATTAGCAGCAGAACAATGTTCAGCTGACATATGATCAACAGAATCAAAGAACTCATCGCCCGCCTCGAAACATTTCACCTTGTGTTGCATTTCCATAAGCCTAAAACTTTACCAATATATAAACATCAAGATCCAAATTTTTCTATATTTTATGTTACAACTTACAAGATATTTTCCTACTAACAACTTTAACCAACAAAATCCCAAACTCTAAGCCTTTATCTTTACTACAATCAAGGCGACTAAAAATACTTTACACAAAATTTCAAACTCGTTATAACAGAATAACTCGTCTCTTATAATAAAATCGCAAACTTTGGTGTTGCTCGAACCAAGAACTTAACAATCAATTAACAACAACAAAAAAAACAGGATTATGGAGCAGAGTACAATGTAAGATCCCAATAGAAGTAAACCCAAGAACTAAACGACCATGATTACGGGTTTTACCTCGGATTTAACAAAAAATCGTTATAATAACACCGACTTTCCTATGATTGAGGTATTATGTTGAAAATGCAAGAGTCAAATTCCAACACTAATTCAATAAACAAATTCGAAAAAATTAAAATAAAATTTGACCAAAACGATTAGAACGAAGTCCTTTGCATTGAGCCAGTAAGGTCAGTGAGGGTGTTTGGAGAGAGGAGAGAGAAAATGGCGGAGGAAGGAAAGGGTGATCATGGAGTTTAGGGGGGAAGTATGCTTATTTATATTACTAAAGCGTGTGCAAATTTTGTGTATTTGTTTAATTTTTCCTTTAAAGAAAATTAAAGGAAATTATTTTTCTAATTTGGGTAAGTTTCCTATATTTATTTGATTTCATATAATTATTATTTTTTCAATTGGCACCGTATATTGTACTTCTTATTTTGTTATATTTTCCGTCTTCGCCTTTACTTGGTCTTGCAAATATTGGGAAGAAAAAGTAAAATAAGACCTCGAATATGTAGATAAATGGATTGCGTAAACACCTATAAAACCCAAAAACAAAAAAGTTTTGTTGTAGAGAGGCATGTAGCAAGGTAGGTTGTATTTTGAAGTAAAATGTAAATAAGCATGACTCGAGTTGGCAAAAAAAAAACTTAGTTCCTCTTTTAAAGTTCTTTCTATTTTGACTTTTTTTACGATGCAATCACTGTAAAAATGAAAAGAACTTTTAGAGATAAAGAGACTATATGACTAACAAGGTAATTAATCTAATTAGAATAACACGATTTGATTATATTTATACTCCAATCTCACTTTTCCAAATTAATAATCATGTCACTCTAGCTAGTTGGATTTGTAATAGTAGTAGTATTGTATAGTTGTGACTTGTGAGCTTGTGATAACTATATGCATTTTTCAGTTTCATTTTCACATTGATAAGAAGCCTTGATGAAAATCATTTTTTTGGTGTTCCATTGAACAATCTTATGACCAATATTTTTAGGATCAGCTCAATAAAACAGTGGTAGCAAATCATTTCTCAACTCCTAGTCCTAGTACCATGACAAAAAAAGTTGGTATTTTTAAATTGAATGGAATACTGACAAATTGTTGGGTATCAATTACTCTGTATATGCAACCAAATTAATGAAATTAAAAGAAACCATGTAATCAATGATTCCACCGACTGTAACAGAATAAAAACATCGATATTTTTTTGGTACTGTACGAATGTTCTAAGCATCAATCAATTAGAACAAACCTTACTAGAAAAATAGAAATGGATTTATTTTTAATTTTATTTTGAGAGAAATATTAGAAATGATTAGTACATCTATAATCATACAAGTATTAAAGCAGCTTTCTGGATTAACTTGTAAGAGTTTTAATTAATATGGAGCAATGAAATTTGCATTGTACATCAGGGTTTACCATGCTCACAGTACACCCTGTAGAAAATAAAGGTATTTTTTAAATTAATTTTTTTTTAAATGATTCCTCCTTAATTTAAGGGATTTGTTAGTTATTTTCCATATTAATAGTTTTCAAAAATAAATTTGATATTTTTGGAGAGACATAATTAAAATTTCGAAATACAGAGAGAATTTCTAGAGAAAAAAAAAATTTAGCAGAGAAAATTAATGGCGGGGTGTAAGAAATTCGGCATGATTCCATTATAGATTTGTTGATAATACGTATGAGAATGAAGATTTGGTTAATAATGAAGATGAATTTGAGGACTTCATAATCAAATGAGAAGGTAATTTTTATTTTTTTTTAGGTTTTTTTTGTATTAAAATTTTATAATTATGATTACGATGTTGATGCTAATGATAATGTTCTCTTAAATTATTAAATTTCATAATTTGTGGATTTCGTAATCAAAGGAAATTGTTTTGTTTTTTTTTTTAACTGTTTTTGTATTATTTTCAAAGGTTGAAGATGGTGTTCTTCTGATTATGATGTATGTTCTTTTATCACGTATTCAATTTGTTAATTGTAATGGAATATGTTCTTTAAGTACGATTAATATGTTCTTTGAGTCTAAACTATATGTTCTTTACATTACAAATTATGTTCTTTAAGGTATAATGTTCTTTGTGTTTCAATAATATGAATTACATACTATTCTTTTTACTTGAATAATATGTTCTTCTATGTTCATATTCGTTTGTTTTAACTCTTATATACTTTTGGGTATTGAGTAGTGATATAGCTCATATTATTTTAAAATTAGTTTTTACGTCATTTTTAATTATTAAACTATTCATCTTGAATATTATTTATTAAATTTATATTTTTTTATATATTAATAATATTTAATAATTGTGTACATTTTTTTTTAATTCAGGATCATGTGGTTGATGGAGATATTTTTTTTGGACATCATCCATTGATGATTGATTTTCAGATCCAATAAACATCCATAATATTTATAAAGAACATGATTATATTATGTAATAAGCACTACTTAAATTTAATTATTTAAATTTAACAAGGATGGTCTAAACAAAAATTAAAAGAACATTTTCACAATAAGCAATGAATATTATGTGACAATAAATGTACATTACAATTACTGTTAGAGAACATGGACATTTAAAATATTTTATCAAAAGATCTAATAAATATCATAATATTAATAATTGACATATGGAAGAAAAATAGTGTTAATAATTAATTGTACCTTACATACAAAGATAAAGTACATCATATTTTCTAATAAAGAACATTATAAAAAACATATAAAGAACATCACAAGAATTACACATGACCATTATTACTATAACAAATATTATAATAATTACATAAAAAAAATTGTTGAAAGAATATGATTGATTTTGGTAGAGATTTTTTAAATTAAAGAAAATCAAATAAAATATTAATAAATGAAATTATAAATAGGAAAATGAATTTTTGAATTTGAATTTTTAATTTTGAAAATAAAATCTTAAAATATTTTGAAGAAAATAATATTAGAAAGAGAATATTATTCTGGAATCTTAAATTTTTTGAAAAAATTGTATCAATTAATGTGGGATTTGGTTGATTCCTTTCTGAAATTTAATGAATATAGCTAAATAACTCGCTTTCTATGTTTCACATCTACATGTTCTTTTTCAGTTGAATGTTCTTTGTTCTAAAACAGTATGTTCTTTTCGCGTTTTTTAAATTTGTTTGTTGTCTGCATTTTATTTTTTAGGTAGCATCGTTTTTGTCCGGGTGTACCATGAGGTGTACAGATCAACGATTAATGGAGCAATTAACATCAAGCACTAACTTTATTATTTATCAATGTATTTGCAGTATTTAAAAACATACTCATGCTGGACTTTATTAGATTCATTTTGATTTTGATGGAGAAGTTTAACATATGTATTACTCGTACCTAACATTTAGTTATACAAGAGGAAAGATATGCATTGAAAAGTTTAAAAGTACGAAAATAATCAAATAATACAAACATCAAGAAATGAAAAGAGTAGTATGATATTTTATACATGGAGTACATGGGTGGCATGGTGCTCCTTATTACATACAAATAAACATACGTAGTATATATTATGGGACCAAAAACTAGGTCCATTCTTTAATAATTTAAAAAAGTCTATATTACCTTGGGAGTTATAGTAGGATTAAACTTTGTTTCTCAAACAACATCAATAATACTTTTGTATGGGTTTGCATGTGATCATTAAACTTTTGGTTAAACCAATACAATGTAACTTTATTAGCTACTAGCTTAGCTCATTGAAATTTGAAAATTCGCAATCACTTGTGATTAATCTCTGGATAATACTATATACAATCCTTTCAAAAAGAGATAAAATGATATAATTTAGATTTGTATCTTTCTAAAAAAAATGCATATTTGTTAATTTAATCACTCTTACGAGTCATATCAAACGAGTAATAATAACTATAAAACAGTGAATCAAAACAAGTTCATGATTAAATCGACAACTTATATAACAATTGACGAACCCATCACTTCCAATTCAATGCAATTATAAGATAAGGTAATTAGTTGTTGAATTAATCGGCCATATATCATTCACTAATAACATTATTAGACGTACGTACGTTGTATTTTGTTTTTAGCCTAATAAATCATGACATATAGGCATATAGCCCACCCCAAATTACACATTATTGACTACTTTTGTAAAACCTAGTCTACCAATATCATTCATTTATATTCCCACCAAAAATAAATTTCTTAAATTAAGAAAGTGAGTTGGACCTACATTAATTGTGTCCAGTATTTAGACAGCTTAGCATATACTGATATACATGATACATTTATCCTCAATTCCTCACCATAAATATTTATTGAGACTTGAGTTAAGGTATATCAATGAATTATCGTGTTGACTTTTGCCATGTGGCTAGTAGTTGTGCGTAGTTGTCAAAATTTTGGCAAGTTCAAGGGAAATATATTGTAACTAAATATTTGTCAAACTACCTACATCCATACAATGGTTATAAATCCTCGTGTACTATTGAAAATTTAAAGTTGACAATAAAGCGTTTAACTATAGCATTGTTGTGGTACCACAATAATAAGGCCAATGATAATAACCATTTCACCATCAATATATATTACTTTCTCTGTTAAATATTAATAACAACAAAGGAATATTTTATGCTAATATCCCTTTATTGCAATTAATAAAAGAGAGATTTATGATGAAAGAAGGAGCATTGGGTCAATCCAAAACAAATATAATGATTAATTAACCGGACTTTTTAATATTTGAGGTTGGAGTGTTACAAGTCAAAGTTGTAATAGCTACATATATTCTATAGCTTAGGCTTATTTTAATTACATTATGATTTTTTTTTTTAGTTGTTAACTTGTTATCTTTAATTTTAATTTTGTCTGAACATTGTAGAATGATGTTAGGGTTTTTAGCTTCGATTATATAAATCCATACAATGTAAAAATTAGACAATATTTTGATTTTAGTAAACGATAATGTACAAGTGCATGGCTTTGCTTGTTTATTCAACTTTATAAAAATATAAAACACTCATTGCAATTTGTATTCATCTTAGTTGATTATGATTGACAAGTAACCCTTAATTTCTATGAAAAATGAGAATCATTCATCCTTGCTAATTTCTTTCGGGTCCATTTAAATCCTCATAATAGGATAACTAATGTAAAAGAGCCTTATTTTTTATTATTATTTTTTTTATTTTACAAAGTTACAAAAATAGCCAAATAGTTTTGTAGAAGAAAATGTATAAGGTTAAGAAAATTACTTACTACATGTTGTCTATCTCTTCTATTCTTTTCCCTTGCTAGTTTATCAACCCGCCCACTATCAATCAACTACCTTACCCATAACCCGCATTGACCAACCCTTTAAAAACGACCCGCACCCGCCCCACTATTAAACTGCTACAACCCGCTACCCGCCCAATAAATATGTTTATCCTTAACTAACGGGTGTGCCACACCAATTTATTTAATTAACAGTGAAAT